CCCCAAAACCCCAAAACCCCAAAACCCCATATTATTCTAAATTAGTGGATTTTAGCTTAATCAAGTTCCTGATTCTGGACAATTTCACTCTAATGAACTCTTCATGGTCAAATGGCTCTATTTGGATAGCCTCAGCAATATACGCGTCTTTGATCTTCTCTCTGTAACTACCTGTGCCAACAAGGTTCTTGTTCCGTTTCCTGATCTCGTCTAAGTCATGGAGTAGCTTAAGGTTTGGTCTAATCTTTACTTTAATTTTGAAGTATTTGAACAGAGAGTTTTTGTGAAATTCTCCATCAATAGAGTCGAAATCTTCCTTTTCCTTAAGTAGAGAGATTTTGGAGCACTCGACACCTAGTATTTCCTCAGCCTTTTCTCCGAAGAAATGTACTGGCATGATGTCAGTCCCATCAGACAATATGCAATTGATGGAGTAAGTATTCTCAGCTTTGGTGTAGAACCTCTGGCATTTGTAGCAGAAATAGGCAGCTGAGTTCTTATTGTTACTCATTGAAATGGATGTCCCTCCTATACTTCCTTGTTTAGATACTTGCTTAGTGACTTTCTTCCTGCAACGAGGACAAGCAGGGTAGAATAAGTCCTGATTCATGGAAATATGCTGTATGTATCCGAAGAAAGTGAAATATCTGCAATCATGATTGCCCTCAACTGCTTTCTTACCGGAAATCTTCTCTTTGATTAGTTCATCAACGACTTCTGAGATTGTCTATATTGTTAGAATAAGTTAAGCTTACCTTTATCCAGCCACGGATTTGAGACTTTTTCTTGGTTACGAAAAACTCCTTCTTCTTTTCTTCAATAGTTGTTGGATTAGCTGTTTCAAGGAATTTTGAGATTTCTAAAGTTCTGTAATGGACAGGTACCTGGACTATGCTTGATTCTTTGTAGGTCAGGTTTAGCGTGACGCCATTATAGTCACTAATCTTAGCATATTTTACGCCAATTATCGATTTCATAGGAAGCGTGATCTTCATATCACCCCAGATGGTGACGTAGATCTGGCCAGTTTCGTCCATAAGGATGAGATCCCTTTTAGAAGTTTCCTCTCCGTTCTTCCTTTTAATTCGCTTTTGATTATTTATATGAACAACTGTGCCAATGACGTCAACGCTATAGCCAAACTGGGATGAGTCTAATATTTGCCTAATCGTTAATGGGTTAAGAGAAGCAGTGCCTGGAGCCTCCAGCTCTAGCTGGTAATTACTGATTTCTACCTTTCCTACCACATGAAGGTTATAGTAATGACTAGACACAGTTGTCTTCGGCTTTTGAAGATTAAAATATGCATCGAACTTCACTTGGTAGATATCATTTTTGACCAAGCTGCCGTTGGATTTATCTACCTCTGTTTTATTAACGTATAAGTAACAATGTCTCCCTGTATTCTCCAGTAGGTGATACTTCATCTTCTCTTTGAGCTCATAGACACCTAAAACTCGGATGTTGAGACATATTCTGTAGTATTTGTCAGAATTCTGGGTGAACAGTTTCTCAAGACCGTAGATGTAGTCATCTAAGTTCTGTACAATAATCTTATCTGTCTTCTCCCCAGCTTTCTCAGTTTTGATGTCTGTCTCAGCAAGTGCACTTTTGTTAAAGAATGAGTCTTCAGTTTCTGTCATTTTGGTCTGAATTTGTTAGATTATTATTAAATAGTTGGTAAATCTTTCAAATATTTCAAAATGGCATGGGGTTTTGGGGTTTTGGGGTTTTGGGGTTTTGGGG